TGGGCTGCACGGGGGCAGCCTGGGTCCGGCGCCGGGCCTCGGCTGGGAAGGCCGGGTCGCGCGAGAAGCCCCGGGTCCGCGTCCTGCTTTCCTTCCCCCTCGAAGCTGCGTTTACAACTTCGCCAATGAATAACCCGCCTCTCCGTTCAACCTAATCACGACTTATTGTGTATCTTTCTGTTGATGATTTATAGAAATAAATTAATAACACCCTAACTCCACGTGCTGCAGTTTATATTACATCTCTGCCGCGTCCAACCTGGCGCGGGGCTGGGGGCCCGAGAGGCGCCCCAGGTTGCCTCGGGTTTCCCAGGTCCTTCCAAAACCCCGCTGGAATGCGGGCGCCTGCGGCCAAGGCGGATGGGCCTAGGCCTCGCGGGCCCCGGTGGCGGGCGGCGGGCGGCGGGCGGCGAGAGATTGGCTGGTCCTCCAGGCCCGAGTCAACCTGCGGGCCGCCCCGGCGCCCCAGCCGCTCCCCTTTCGACTCCTCTCACCTTCCTGCACCCTAACCCCGGCGGGGGAGAAACCGCCGCCACTGGGGGAAACCGCGAGGGAAGAACCTCAAACCTGCGAACTGTAGCAAAATACTTTCGGGAAGTTAAAAAAAAAAAAAAACCTAGAAATTCCCCCGATTGTTTTTGCTAGAGAGTAAGCCGCCAGGTCCCCAGGTAGCAAATTCAAATGCAAGGTCATATCCCAGACCAAACTGCCGCCGCGGGCGTGCGACCCAGGCTGCCCGAGTCCCCGACGCGACTTCGCTTCTGGCTCTGTCTTGAGCCGGCGGCTCTCAAGTGTCCGAGACCAAGCGAGGGGCTCGGCCCTAAAGCAGAGTGGCCGGGAGCGACGTGCGGTCTAAGGCAACCGCTCGGCTCCTTGGATAATTAGTAACCAGCTGTCAAAGCTCTAGGCCGGTCGGGAAGGCTTAGCAAACGACCCCGGGCCGGGAGACAGACCACCGGCCAGCCTGCCTGGAATCCCCGGGGACGCCGGGGTGTCGGCTGTGAGATCCGGAAACGCCCTCCTTTCTCCGACCAAATCCTCGGCGAAATGGGGTCTTGGTCGCATTTACCCCTCGCTTGCTTAGATATATGGTTTCTTTTGCCCCTTGCGGGTCCACCCTGACCCGACAACGTGCAAACATTTCCTTTCTCCATTCTAAACGGGCTTTGGGGATTCCGGATAATTCTCAGGCCTTGCACGGGCGCTGCAGATGGGAGTGCCCACCAGAGAACTCGCGCCCCCAGTCCCGGCCCGGGTGCCGCCAGGCTCTTTGCAAAGTACGGCAGGGCAGGGCGCCGTGCCTCAGGCCGGCCTGCGTTTTCCCGGGAGGACCGCAGAGGCTGCGTCCGCGAGAAATGCTTGGCCTGGGGCTGTTGCGGGCCCGAGCCTTGGCTCCTGGGACTCGCCGCGGTTTCACTGCACCCACTTGCACCTTCAACCGCGTAGGCAAACCTCGGAGCCAAGAGCTCCGCAGCTCGAGTTCTCCTAGGCTAAGACCCAGCGCGGCCGGGAGGGCCCCACGGGTCCGGGGCGCTGGCCTGGGCAGGGAATCATGAAGCTTCGGGGCTCGGGCCGTCCGGTAGAGGGACTGGGAGGGGTCCAGGTGTTGGGAGAGAAGGGAGCACCCCCCCGGGGGACTTCTCTAGTGGGAAACAGACTTGGCAAGAGTGGTCGCGCTCAGTGTCGCTCAGGCACAAGGCCTGGGGCTCCCCGGGCTCCGGCACACACTCCGCACCTCGATCCGCGCCTACCTGAGCATCCGGTCCACCTCCGCCCGCTGCTCCGCCGCCTCCTCGGTATTGAGCGCTTGCAGCTCCTTGAGGATGGGAGGGGTGTCATAGTCGTCCCCGTCCTCGGAGCCCTCGTCCCCGGATAAGCGGCCCTTGGCGTGGCCGTTCGTGAGAGTGTGGAAGACTGGCTTGGTGTCCGGCTCTGCCCCGCTCCCAGGGGACAGGGGCAGCGTCTCCAACTTCACCCCGAAACTCGGGGATGGTAGTAGCTCCTCCAAGGCCTGGACCAGCACCTCCTTGGTGACCCCGGAGCTCAGCAGGGCGCTCAGGAGTTCTTGCTGGAGCGACGTGAGCTTGGACACCATTTTCCAAGGACAGAAAAAGAAGGGGGTGAGGGGGTGGGTGGGTGCGAGAGAAGAGGGTGGAGGGGAGTCTCACAAGCGAACCCCCAAGTGCAGGAACCCCCCCACCCTTCAGCTTCCAGACACCTGTTACTCCCCGGGGTCCCGGAGTCTCCTCCGAGAGGAGTCAGAAAACTTCTAACTTGCCATGATCGCCACCATTAGGCCATATAAGACATGCAAATTAGTGGGGAGGGCCCGGCTTTCGGCAAGATGCAAATGGGCGTGGGGAGGGGGGAAAACCGAGAGAGGGAAAGCATGAGGGGCAGACGGGGAGAGCTGGAGACCTGGGCCGGGAGCGGGGCTGCCAGGGTCCATTGTACTCACGCCGGGGGGCTGAAGACCTTCTTGTACTGGTTCTGTTTATCAGCCAAACTTTAGCTGACCTTTGGACTTGTTAAACAAGTAGCTTGCAGCCTAGAGTGGAAGGCTCCGGGACTTTTCCACCGGCGCGGGTCCGGCTCTAGTCCGGAGAGAAGCAGAAACTGCGCTTCAGGGGTTCAGGTGAGAGCTGGGGGAAGTTGGGGTGCTCTTGGAAGCAAGAGATGGAGGAGGACACGAAGAGTGGAGACCCTCCGAGGCGTCTCAACCGAGGTAGGCAGTGGGCCAGGAAAGCCAGTCGGGCGGAGGAGAAACTGAACTCAGGGGGAAGGATGCGGTGACCTGGGGGAAGGGGCGTGTTAGGTGGGGTGAGGGTGGATGGGGGGGGGCTTCATTTGGTTCTACCTGAGTTACGGGTCTGCAGACCCCAGGCCCTTACCAGCCGGGTTTGATGGTTTGGATTTCAGAACTGCGGGCCGCGAGAGCGTAGGCGAGGGGTAAGGAGGCCTGGAGAACCCTTGGGAGGAGGCACCGACTAAAGGAAGTAGCCAAAGTTGAGCTCCCCCAGCAGCCGGGCTGCACCAGCACCCAGCCTGGCTAAGCCGCCGGGGAGCTGGACACCTGGGCCACGCTCCTCTGTTTAAACCCGGGATACCAAAGTGCCTCCACTTTCGGGGCAGAATTAGGATTGCAGGGCCTCCTTTCTAAGAGTGGAAAGCAAAGCTTGGTCTGCAGCTGGATGGATAGTTGGAGCCGCGTGTCCTTCGGGCCCACTGATTTCTGGTTTATTCGCAGCTCCAGGACACAGCGGTTCCCAGGGCCAGGGACTGGGCTCTGCAGAGGAGGTCAGCGCGGCGGTGGCAGGAGTCTCCCACGCCAAGTTAGGAAGGTACTGACAGAGCCGCCAAGAGAAAGAAGTATTTTTCCACCCTGGCCTGGCCCGGGAAGGAAGCTGGGAACCTTTCAGCACTATCGGAGTTTCCACCTGCGTCTTCCCGGGGCGCCCGGGAGGAAGGAAGGATGCAGGAGGCTCACCCAGACCTACAGGCTGGACTGCGCCTGCAGAACAGGGGAAGGGGCTTTTTAGGATCCATCGCTCACTAGTCCCATAGTTCCAAGGGCAGAGGATAACCTCTTCCCCACCCTTAGCCTCAGGTTTGTCATCTGGGAAATACTGATACCTAAAGTGCAGGAGGTGGGGCATTGTATGCATGGAATGAGACCCCCTGTGAAACCCCACGGTCTTACAATAGCATTCACACTTTTCGGTCTAGGAAGGCACGAAGCCAGTTCCCAGTAGTGAAATCTAGCTCCTCTGGAAGTTTAGGATTCTCAGAATCAGGCAGATCCAGCGCTGGGGTTGGAGGGACACGGAGGTTAGGGACAAACATTCAGAGTGAGCAGGGAATTTGCAAAGGAGCTTCTATGCAAATTCTCCTGCCTTTCCCACGTTTAAAAGACAATTAGGAGGAAGAGGGGAATTTCAGCATGGGTTGTGGGGGAGGGTCAGCAGTTCTCTCTGCCTGGTTTTGGATCAAATCTAGGTGCACGAGAGCTGAAACTCCACATGTGACTGATCCGAGACAGGCTGCTAGAAAGCAAGGCTGCCTCTTTGAAATACAGGATCTGCTACACATGCCTGGGCCACCCACGAGAAAGGGGTGGTTGTGTGCTTGGAGCTCCAGGGGAGGTTTACACTATCTCAGTGTCTTTCCTGGAGAGAGGGGTAATACGTTCATAGAAATGAGGGCCCTTCATTTCCCCTTATTGTCTTCTAGTTTGTTGTGACATAAGGCAGATCCTTGGCCCTCACAATTCAGCCCAATGGGAGAACGTTCTCTGACTACCCAGCTCCCCTCAACCGGGATAATGAAGTGTTCAGAGTAAATATCCCTGAACAATCCCTTTCTCTCTGTCTTTCACTTGCTATCATGATAGAAGCAGTCAAGTGTAATGAAGATCAGTTTCTGGGCTGAGCTGGGAAACCCCATTAAAAAACCAGCCATCACTTCCCTTTGAACAACAAGGCTTTGATTTGTAGTTCTGACTACTGTGTACCCAGTCGGACTCTCAAGCTTCCTGATCTCTCAAAATGCAGGTGTCAGCAAAGCCATTCTTCCCCAATCCCAAGCTAACTATCTGAACGTACAGGAAGTTGCACAGAGTACAGGGAAACTTCTGAAGACTTCAGGTACGTCTTCCAGGTAATCTGGCCATTCATATCCAGCCTCTAACTCTCCTGTCCAGGTCTACCTTGTCTATGCCCCCTGGTGCAAATGGGTGCTTATCAAGTAACTGCAACTCTAGATCTGTGAGCCGTCCAGTATCTACCTCTTCATGTGGGAATTTAAAAAGAAAAGGGTCAGTATCCCAGCAGGTAGTCCTTCAGGATGTGGGTCAAAAATGCCAACCAAGTGAATCATCTCATAAAACCCTTTGGTTAAGCTTCCCCCAGATAGAGGAAGTCAATACAGTTGAAATACCCT